ACGTGTTTAATTAAATTAATTTGAATATTTAATTAACAACATTAAAGGGGTCATATGATGCGATTTCAAGTTTTCCTTTCTCTTTGGAGTGTTACAAGCTGTTCGTGAATAGATAAGATCCCTAATGTTGCAAAGACTAAAGTCTCAAACCCAAAGAGATATTCTTTATAAAAGTTAAGACTGGTCCACGCCCTCCTAAAACGCCTCGTTTAAACACGCCTCCACATGTCTACGTCACGATGTGGGAAGATTTGCATAACACTGCCCAAATGTTCACGCAAAGAAAGAAGGTGTAACTTTATTGTTGCTGCCACTGCCGCTGCCATGTTGTGAAGACGCTGTGTGTTTCGTTGTGAACGCAAAAATACGTTGTTTGGCCTTCCACACAACTAGAAATCAGTGGTTGTATTTACAACACTGTTCCACAACAGTTCAACCCAAATATTCAGATGTGTGCAACGCATTTTATGGAGAACTGTTTCCTGAAAGAGTCGACAACAATGCCGACTCACAGTCTGTAAGTACACTTTCATATTTAAAGAATTTGCCACTGATGATTCAAACGCGAGTTTTGAGCAGTGTAGAGTAGCGCTTATTTGTCATTTCTCCGATCACAAATGCAGACATGGTTTTATGTTTACGTGGCGCGATGCAAGTCATACTATCCTTCTAGTGAATTATGTCCACACTGGATGCAACAAATGCCTCGTTTATAATGGGTTTTAATGTTTTTGTCTCGTCGCTCCGGCCGGAGAGGGCATCACAGTATGGTAAGGGGCGTAACATTTCCGTCACATGCTTGAGGTATTCGGCCAATCACAATGCACTTGATAGCTGGCCAATCAGAGCACACCTCGCTTTCAGACCGATGAGCTTTGTAAAAATCAAAGCGTTTCAGAAAGGCGGGGCATAGTGGAGAAACAATCATGTACAGTATGTGGAAAATAATTTTTTATAAATAATAATACAAATAATACGTTTTTTTAACCTTTAACCATAAACACATTTGATTACACCAAATACACAAAATAATGTTCTTTTTAGCAACATCATATGACCCCTTTAAAAACCATTCAAAGTTTCATTCAACTGACAACCCAAATAATGAATGCTGCATGCAAATAAACTGCAAAGTCTACTTACAAAAGCACATCATTCATGAAACAACATAGATGGAACTGACAAACAAATACTCGCTACACTTGATCAAACTCACAGAAGTGCACAAAACTTTTTCCTTTCATCCATTCAAGTTTATTCAAGGTCAGTGAACTGATCAAATCACTGCCCAGGCCCCCTCACCCCTGAGGAAGCTTTATTTTCACCCAAAGGATTATGGGTACCCATGTTTTACTCTGTTTCTGCATTAAGCAAGCAGAAACCGCAAGGACCTGGGAGATTTGAGTTGAAAACTTTCTTCAAAATCAATACGGCTCTGAAGTGAAGATGACACTTTTTGAATTTGCTCTCACTTGAGTGAGTTTCATCACAGCAGTATGGCTCTGTGATGGATTGACTTTATCTCTGGTGGACTGACTTGTTCTGGCCTCTTCCAATGGCTTCATTCAGGAAGTTTGTGTAGTTTACTTGCTTTCTTTGGTTACAGTGCGAGTCCCTGGATTGAGATGTTTGAGGACAGTGTGTCTTGGGGTTTTAGTCAACTGAGACGAGAAAAAGAAAGACAAAGAAAGAGAGGGACAGAGACACAGAACCCTTTCATCTGACATTGCTTATTCTTGGCTGTGTGAAATGATGTAACTGGCAGAAATGTGTGGTTAATATAAACTGTTTACGAAGAGTATGCTATAAATACTACACTGTTTTTGTTACTTGCACCAAGGTTTATGATACTGTCAAGAACACCTAAACAAACAAAATAAAAGCTAGTTTAATTTTTTAAAAAATGTTTTATAAAAAGAGCATTTCCATTGGTGATCTTTTCAAATTTGACCCATATTTGACCGATATGTACTGTATGTGTGTGTGAATAAATGCATCATGGTTTTATGTTTACGTGGCGCGATGCAAGTCATACTATCCTTCTAGTGAATTATGTCCACACTGGATGCAACAAATGCCTCGTTTATAATGGGTTTTAATGTTTTTGTCTCGTCGCTCCGGCCGGAGAGGGCATCACAGTATGGTAAGGGGCGTAACATTTCCGTCACATGCTTGAGGTATTCGGCCAATCACAATGCACTTGATAGCTGGCCAATCAGAGCACACCTCGCTTTCAGACCGATGAGCTTTGTAAAAATCAAAGCGTTTCAGAAAGGCGGGGCATAGTGGAGAAACAATCATGTACAGTATGTGGAAAATAATTTTTTATAAATAATAATAAAAATAATAAGTTTTTTTTAACCTTAAACCGCATAAACACATTTGATTACACCAAATACACAAAATAATGTTCTTTTTAGCAACATCATATGACCCCTTTAAAAACCATTCAAAGTTTCATTCAACTGACAACCCAAATAATGAATGCTGCATGCAAATAAACTGCAAAGTCTACTTACAAAAGCACATCATTCATGAAACAACATGGATGGAACTGACAAACAAATACTCGCTACACTTGATCAAACTCACAGAAGTGCACAAAACTTTTTCCTTTCATCCATTCAAGTTTATTCAAGGTCAGTGAACTGATCAAATCACTGCCCAGGCCCCCTCACCCCTGAGGAAGCTTTATTTTCACCCAAAGGATTATGGGTACCCATGTTTTACTCTGTTTCTGCATTAAGCAAGCAGAAACCGCAAGGACCTGGGAGATTTGAGTTGAAAACTTTCTTCAAAATCAATACGGCTCTGAAGTGAAGACGACACTTTTTGAATTTGCTCTCACTTGAGTGAGTTTCATCACAGCAGTATGGCTCTGTGATGGATTGACTTTATCTCTGGTGGACTGACTTGTTCTGGCCTCTTCCAATGGCTTCATTCAGGAAGTTTGTGTAGTTTACTTGCTTTCTTTGGTTACAGTGCGAGTCCCTGGATTGAGATGTTTGAGGACAGTGTGTCTTGGGGTTTTAGTCAACTGAGACGAGAAAAAGAAAGACAAAGAAAGAGAGGGACAGAGACACAGAACCCTTTCATCTGACATTGCTTATTCTTGGCTGTGTGAAATGATGTAACTGGCAGAAATGTGTGGTTAATATAAACTGTTTACGAAGAGTATGCTATAAATACTACACTGTTTTTGTTACTTGCACCAAGGTTTATGATACTGTCAAGAACACCTAAACAAACAAAATAAAAGCTAGTTTAATTTTTTTTTTAAATGTTTTATAAAAAGAGCATTTCCATTGGTGATCTTTTCAAATTTGACCCATATTTGACCGATATGTACTGTATGTGTGTGTGAATAAATGCATTATTAAGGATGCATTATTTCAAATAAATGCAATTATTAAGATCCTAAAAAAACTATTTTCACAAAATGCAGCACAGCTGCTTTCAACATTGATATTAATAAATGTTCTTGAGCACCAAATCAGCATATTATACACTGAAGACTGCAGTAATGATGGTAAAAATTCAGAGTTGCCATAAAAGGAATAAATATTTTAAAATATGAAATATAAAAAAAACATAACATTTTTAAATATGTTTTTAATGTATTTTTGATCAAATAAATGCAGTGTTAGTAAGTGTAAGAGACTTCTTTTGAAAACATTTAAAAAAAAATCTTATGATATATTTATTTTACAATATTTTACATTTTCTATCCCTGTAGACATATTTTTCTCTATGATAGCTTACCAAAAAGCCGCAAATGTAGATATTCTGATTCTGCTAATATATTTAAATATAGTATATAGCTATTTTAGCTACTGCTTCATCTTTTTTTGTGACAGAGACAGATAACAAAGGACATTTTCTACATGAGCATGTCAAACTGCTACTTCACAGTAAGACTATAAAAATAACTTTCGTCTTTAGAATGGAGTGCATTGATGAATCATTCACAATGAAAACAGGAATCCGTATTAAGAAAGTAAATAGGGTCAATGTTGACTTTAAACGATACTGCTACGTAGTGGAGATTCCATCACACCTCTCATTTGATTTTCTTGTCATCCTAACTTAATCATGAAGCTCCATTTCTGCTAGAAGCACAAACCCTCTTTCAAAAACACACAGCTTTCCTTGTACTGTCTGCTGAGCTTTCAAAGATGGTAAATGAAGACGGTCTGTATTTTCTTTACATAATCAGCTGGTGGTGGCCACATGAATGAGAAAAGCCTGAAGAGGACCATATGGCCAGAGTGGAAATGAAAGGAGACAGACACAGGTAAACCTGAGACAATACGCTCCGCCGCAGAGCAGGAACTCTTAGAGCCATCGCCTCCTCTCAACCCTTTTTAACACATCTTCTCTCTTATCTGTCCACACTGATTTTTGCTGAGTGGATTCAGACCCAGGGCATATGTGCGAGTAATTCAGCCTTCTGTTTTTAGCTGGTTCACTTTTTCAGTTTTCAGTTTCAAGATCAGAGAGAAAGGAAGAATGCGTTTGGTCTTAAGGGACGACTTCTCAGATTAGATTTATGGATAGAAAAGGTTTCTTTATACTGTATAATGGTAGCTTCTCTTAGACATAGAAAGCTAATGTGTACTCAAGCTTTGTTACGCCTAAAAGATATGTAACGTTCAAGAGAGAGTTTTGTCTTCCAGACAATCATGTTTGAGTTACTAATTAGTCAATTAGCTAATGTCTCTGTGTTTTTTGTCCATAAAAGACCCAGTCTTTTATTATATGGACTATTATGTTTTCTTCTGTGTTCCACAACAGAGCAAAACTCATACAGATTTAGAAAAACACAAAGGATCATAAGTTATGAATAATTTTCATTTAAGAATAAACTACTACTATTCTGACCTTGGGCATCCTTTGCTTGTGTTGCAAACTTGAAACCTTTCGTTTACTAGACTAAATATTTAACAACTAGCCAACTCAATCCCTTATTCAGTCAGTGTCCATTAAAAAAGTGAGTTTACCGTCATTGCCAGGAGCTTGCCGTAAGTGAGGTGTGCAGGTATATGGTCTGGTTTGGCTCGAAGGGATTCCTTATACCAGTGTTCTGCCTCTGTCAGTTTGTTCAGCCTCATGTAGGCCTCTCCTGTGAGGGGACGAGACAGAGGTCAGGTCAACAGGCCAGAAGTTAAGGAAGCACATAACCACCCCCCTCGCCGTGGTTTATCCCATAGCATAAATAGAGGCAGTCAACTGAAAATGACCCACAAAAATTCAGACACTCGATGAAATGTGATACTGGAGCCCTCCGTCCATTTATGTAAAACGAGCGCAGAGTGAAACCAACATTAAGTGATTGTTTACCGACCAGCGGACATTCAGTTATTTATTAAATTTTATTTGATTATTTATATTAGATAATTCTGCAATTTTTGCATTCGATAATAATAATAATTTTATATATATATATATATAAATGGCGTGTGATGTCAAAAATAAACCAGTTTTTTTTGTGTTATTGAAATAAGGATTTCATGCTCATCCAGGTTGCATTTATTCAAATACAGAAAAAAACTGTAATTTTGTAAAATATTATTAAAATGTTAAGTTTTAAGAAATCTGTTTAATGTTTCAAGATTCTTTCTTATCAAGGTGAATAGAAAGTTCAAACAAACAGTATTTATTTGTAATAGAAATCTTTCGTAACAATGTAAAAGTCTTCACTGTCACGTTTGATCAATTTAATTCATTTTTGCTGAATAAAAGTATTGATTAAAAAACATTTCTGAAAAGTATTAAATTAATTTAAAATTAAGTGACAGATAGATAGATAGATAGATAGAGCCTTTTGGCATCCTGTACATAAATAATTAATTTGCCATGATAACATTAAAATGACTATGAAAGAGTGTGTTATATTAGGCTAAGTTTTTATATTCATCATAAAAGCATTCATTGGCTCTTTAGATACATTTTCTAGATTTTTGTTTTGTTTTGTGTAAGAGGATGCGTGTTATTTTGCTATGTTCCTTGCACTGCTCATTAAATTCGAATGATAGTAGAATACTGTCAAATCATAAAATTTTAACATTTTGTTCCCCTATTAATATTTCGTTAAATAAGAGATTACTCAATTTGTGCGTATTGATCATTTGGTAATAAACACTTTTATTTAATAAACATTTTTATATATCCCTTGAATGGTTTGCCCACCCTGTCATATTGGGGAATCCGCCCGAAAAGGCCATCCCCTTTAGTGATGTCAAGACAACAGATTTTTTTTTTGACTCTTCAGTGAATTTCGATGGCTGAGGTGAGTTTTCAAAAGTTGGTGACTTTTCAGTTGACAAATTTTCTTCGTATGAGTTTGCTTACTTGCTTTTCCAAAGCTTAACATGTCCACCCTGTCAGCATAAAATATGCCAGAAGTGATTAGAATACAGTATTTTCAAAGTATGTAAGTTTATATATACCAAATTCTCTTCAACAACCAGACTAACTATTTAGCTAGTCACAGTTTGTTGTAAGCTAATATGCTAATTGAAGCTCAAAATGTCCACCCTGTCGGCCACTTAAGACTCGATAGGGTGGATATACACATGACAGGGTGGACACAGCATTCATTTGTAGTCAATACTGCTAAAAACTAAAATGAATGGGGAGGGGTATATCAATGTGATTGAGGATGTAATTATATTATTATTAAATATATATATTTTTTCAAAGTTGAATAAATGTTTCATTGTCATATTTTGTCATGCTTTGTGTGTTCTGCATTATGAGTCCACCCCGTCATGTGCTGGTCCACCCTGTCATCTTGATATTTTACAATATGTTTCTCAGCTAATATGTGTTTCTATAGTACTTGAGTGTCTACTATTTATGACATGACATAAAGCGAATGGGAAATTAAAACCAACATTTTTGAGTATTGTGAGGGTTGAAAGGCATATGGTGATATTGACCCATGTATACTACTCTAAAAATACTGTCCTCCGGTCTTCGGCTAAGCAATTCAAAGCCATGCCTGTCCCAGTGCCAACCCTACTCTTATAAATCCAGACGTAAAAGCTGACTCCTCATGACACGAGTATAAACACACACTCCTATCCTTTAAACATCATCTAATACCTCAGCCAGCCTCCAGCTCCCCACCCACCTGCAATAACACACACGCTCCTCTCAGACAGATTATTACAGAAGAACCTATCACAGCTACTTCACAGAGATAACACAGCCTAAACAATGTTAATGTAATGTAATTAGAGCTAAAATAACATAAGCAGAGCATATGTGACTACACTGGGGTTTCACATGACCCACCGGTCTCAATACACGTCTGTCCACACCAATGTCAAATATAGGACACGTGGGTCATTAAAACAGCCTAAAGTCAAATAACGCTGGAATTTTCAGCTATTATTTTAAAGCTAAAAAAATGACATACTGCAGATGGCTCACTAATGACAGCTGGGAATGTCACACAAAACTCTCGCCATGTTTGTAAATTAACAAGAATATTGCTTTGGAAACACAGATTTTGAAGAAATACAGAAAACTCTGACTCATTAAGCAAATCTTAAACAAACACAATTCCTCATTCGTCACACATTTGTTTTGTGCAATAGAAAAACATTGTTTCTGAAGAGTCCTAACAGTAAGAGTATGAATGAATTTATGAGCATGAATTTAGCAATGAAAAAAACATCTACTACACTATTGTAATACTTTTATTCAGCAATGCACTAAAGTGATCAAAAGTTACAGTGAAGACATTTATAATGTTACAAAAGATTTTGATTTTAAATAAATTATATTCTTTTGAAAGTTCCATTTCTCAAAGAATCCTGAAAAACAATGTTTCTTGAGCATCAAATCAGCATATTATAATGATTTCTGAAGGATCATGTGGCTAATGGCTGCTGAAAATTCAACTTTGTATCATAAAGGAAATTACATTTGAAAGTATATTAAAATAGTTTTATTTTATGATCAAATAAACGCAGCCTTGGTAAGATAGTTCTTACAAAAACATTCATCAAATCAGCATATTATAATGATTTCTGAAGGATCATGTGGCTAATGGCTGCTGAAAATTCAACTTTGTATCATAAAGGAATAAATTACATTTGAAAGTATATTAAAATAGTTTTATTTTATGATCAAATAAACGCAGCCTTGGTAAGATAGTTCTTACAAAAACATTAAAAAAAAAACTAAAAAAACTCCTACCTACCCCAAATTTGAATGGTAGTGTACAAAACATCCACATGCTGGTATATTTAGCAATTTAAAAGGATTGTTTAACAGATACAGTCTGACCTCCTCAGTCAAGCTGTATTTGGCTCAGTTGGTCAGAGGAGACAGCTGTCGATTTTGGCTGTTAGAATGAGCTCAATACAGTTGAAACAGTGACAACAAACAAAATAACACAAACCCGAAAAATTAACAACAAATGAGCTTGGAAAGAAATGAACATGGGGAAACAAAAAAAAAAAAGAATTACAGAAAAATAGTTAAGAGATAACTGTGAGAAAATGAGATGGGAGGGAAAGGCTGAAAGCTGTGGGTTGGTAAATGTGTTGCATAAGATATTAAAATCGAACAGTTTGCTCCCATGCTCTAAATAAAACAGAACGGTTCTCACGCTCTCTTGTTTGTGAATCTGTTGACTCGATCTGACAAAATCAATTCTATATAGATCAAAAGAATGCAATGGAGGTGGGTTCAGCAGAAAAGGCACCATTACAATTACAGACCCACTGGTGAGACAAGATAAAAACAATATGGAGTTACAGTATGTAAGGAATAATGTAAAGTAAGTCATTATTGCAAAATAAGACTAACAGTGAAGTCTTTTATCACCCTGAAGGGGTTTATTTTGCAATAATGGGCTGCTGACTGTACATGATCTCACTTATTATTACACAACTGCTTACCAAATAAATATACAGACATAAAATATTGATTTGAGTTGAAATTATTTTATGATCGTGTAGACCGCTTAACTAGCTTATCTTGTAGATTTTACTATCTTGTAGAGAGCTTAAAGTCTCTGCTAAGAAAAACAGTCCATTACATCACAGAAAACAATCAGCCTAGAAACAACACAAACACCGCAACAATATTAAATTAAAGTGCCCCTATTATGGATTTTTAGAAATTACCTTTCATGCAGTGTGTAATACAGCTCTAAGTGAATGAAAACATCCTGCAAAGTTTTAAATCTGAAAGTGCACCGTGCATAAAGTTATTGTCTCTCAAATGAAAGAGTCGACTCTGAATCATTGAAGCGAGTCGTTTTTTAAAACGAACGAATCCCAAGCCATTTCAGGTTGACGTCAACATGAAACATTAGCATATTGCCCGCCTACTTGTTGGTCTTTTCCAGATGCAAATTCATTCTTTGCCACTAGGTGCGGCTTTTGGAGCGGTAAAAATAGCTGTTTCCCCCGGTAACGGCTGTAAACTAAGCAGCACTGCGCTCACAAACGCTGCTTTATCAGGCATTACAGGCATGATGAAATGAAAATGAGACCAATCGGACCAATCACCGCAGATTAGCATCACGCAAAGGAGGGGTTTGGAAAAATGAATTGTTGAGCGAATCGTTTGGGAGTCGTTGAGCAAGTAAGGTAACAAATAAATGCACATTATAAGACAATGAAAGTGTTTTTTGACCTAGCATGAATGTCAACCTGTTGTTGGGGACTCCCAAAACCAAAATATGAACCTTTCATAACCCATAATAGGGGCACTTTAAATAATTTTTATTTTTAATGATTTCCAATTTTTTTTTTTTTAAGAAATGTATAGCTTTATTCATCAAGGATGTATTAAATGGATCAAAAGTGACTGTAAAAACATGTCACTTTACGAAAAACGTCTATTTCCAATAAATGTTTTTCTTTTGAACTTTCTATTCATCAAAGAATCTTGAAAAACTGCATCACAGTTTCCACAAAAATAATAAGCAACACTAATGTTTTCAACACTGATGATAATAATGTGAAATGTTTTTTTAGCTCTAAATCGGTATATTAAAATTATTTCTGAAGGATCATTTGACACTGAAGACTGGAGTAAAGGAGCAATGGCTTTTTTATTTTTATTACAGTTATACAAAATTATATCTGACTCTGGAACAAAGCATTCTAGACAGCTTTAAACTTACCCATCATATTATAAAGGCTCTGTGGGGCAAACTGCCTGGGCATCTTCTGTATCGCTTCTTTATATACAGATATGGCCTCCTAAAAACAGAATACACCATTAATTCATAAAAAGCCACAATTGTAAGCATAAAAAAGTACTCAGACTAAAAGTCTATTCATTCCAAGCCTTAATTTTCACAAACAAAACAAGCCAATTAAATCAAGATCAAGAGTCTGAAATATAACATTTTGATGATCGTTCTTTTCACTTTATATATTTTCTGGGAAACCAATTTGAAAACGGTCAGAAATTACACATTTCATGGTTAAAGCATTGGTCTGAAAAGTTGTGGTGTGAAAACTGATTTTTATACTTTCGTAACCTCAGATTTGGTGTGTACAGAATTGAAATCTAAAGGCTTTAACTGTGCTGGAGAGCGTCTCACCTCCTGGTGGCCCTGCTCATGAAGAAGCTTTCCCAGGTTATACAGGCAGCTGGTGACTGAGCTCTTATGTGCATGAGGATCCTTCAGGTTTTCATCTGGGATATCGGCACAAGTGACAAAAGTGCGCTTGGCCTCTTCTAGACGGCCCTGGTTCATCAGGACAATCCCTGTGTTCAAGTAGGCGGCTGAAAGAGAGAGGAAAGGGTGTTTATCAGAGCAAAATTTAATGAGGCTTATTGAGGCTCAAAGAAAGACCTCCACTGGGGCTGCAAGAATGAACTAGTTGATTTATGAAGATCAGCAGCCTTGCAGTCTAGTCGATAAGGTGCCAATACATATTCACTATCCACCCGGCCAGAATCAAATCTAAATCAGCAGGGGAATATCCACTCCAGCTGCAGGCTCAATTCTGATGCTCTTAATAGACCATGCATACACACAGAACCACAGATTTAAATGAGTTTATATCACAGGACGGGACAATCTATCAGGACTCCTGCAGCAGGGACTAGTAGACATCCATCTCTCTCCTCAGAGCTGCAATATGTGCGTGCGCTGATCTCAAACTATTACAGATCTCTTACAGATGTCTCACAACACATTAAATTGGGAGGAAATGCTACTGCACTAAAGTGGCATATGTGGAAAGTAGCGAGTGAGGAGATATTTTTGCTCTGAAATTCAGGGGTGAATTCTTTAAACTTTTGCACCAATGCAAAAACATGACTTTAATCATAATTCTTTATTTAATGGGTTATTATTACTGTTTTATGTATTGAATACAAATTTTATTTATTTTATTATTTTATTTTTTCTACTGTTTATATATTATTCTATAATATTTGTATGCTTTTGGTACTGTGTTTTGTGCCACTTTTATGCTTTTTCATTTTGATATTTAACATTAAAACATTAATAGTAAAATATGTACACTATATAAATGTATGCATATATGTCAAAAGTTTGGAATAATTTAAATAATTGTTAATGTTTTTGAAAGAAGTCTCTTATGCTCACCAAGGCTAACATTTAATGTACAGTACCAGTAAAAACAGTAAAAGAAATATGAGTAAAACAGTAAAATTGTGACATTATTACGATTTAAAATATCTGTTTTCCATTTTAATATACTTTCATTATAATGTACTTTATTACTATGATGGCAAAGCCAAATTTTCAGCAGCCATTACTTCAGTATTCAGTGTTACATAATCCTGCAGAAGTCATTCTAATATGCTGATTCGCCAGTGAATTTATTATTAAAACTATTTAGTAATATTTACTCTTTTGTATTATTATTAAAAATGTATCTCCTACAAAATGTGGTAGACTATACATTGGCTGACCAGCTAGTTGATTCTGAATGACTTATACAGAATGTCTTTTATAAAGCAAAATTTGACTTAAAAATCCCCAGACCCCGCTGCACACATCATGATAATTGTCTCCCTGGGCAAATCTAGTCATTCAAGCAGAGTAGCAATAATTTCCTCCCATGACACTAAAAACAACATGGGAAATTCTATGAGAAACCTTAAAACGGCCAAAAATAGCACATGCATTTCATTTGGATAAGAGGCAAGCAAATGCATCCACACTGGGCCAAATAGTATAAAAGGATTTTGGCCTGGATTCTTTTTTTCTGTTGAAATCGAATCAAACGTCAATCATTCCTTGACAAGAGTGGAAACAGAGTGACTGTGTAGGCCTGTGAATCATCATTATTTCTTTAATGCTGGACTTAGTTTGAGCACACACACACACACACACACACACAGAGAACCACACAGACCTTTTCATTTGTAGTTGCCTGGACACAGTGAAGACTGAGGCGGCTTGAAATTGTTCATAAAAAGAGGAGCTGTACTTACAAGCCAGCGTTGGCCTGCTCCCAATGGCCAGCTTATAGTAGTGGAGGGCCTCTGAGAATCTGTTGTTTTCCTGGAGCAACAGACCCCTGCAATCCAAAAGAAACATGAACAATTACAAAGTATGGGTAACACAATTAATTTAAATTAACAAAAAAAGAAGAAAAAAAAAAAAACTTATATCAATTTATTTATTAATTTATATCAATTTTTTTCAGTGATATTTAATTAAGTTAAATAACTATGAAATCGACTTCCAGAGAATGAAAACAAACTCAAAGCCCTGAGTTTGCACTGAGATTACAAAGGCTAGTGGGAAGAAAAATGTTATTTCCCAAATGCCCTGTAAGATTTTTTTTTTAAATCAACTGGGCATATTTTAAATTGATTGACTAGCAACCTACAACATAAAAAAGACAAACCTGTTATTTTTTCAGAAAAATATGCAGTAAGAGACAAAAAAACCCCCACACATTTAAAATAATTTAGTAATAAAATAAAATGATAATCATTATATTCACTCCATTTGCATTCAACTATTCAATATTTAATGAAGTTAAATAACTTTGAAATCAACTTCCAGAGAACGAAAACAAACTCAAAGTGTTTGTACTAATTTTACAGAAGCCTAATGGAGAAAAAAAAAGTTTCCCTGTAAGAATTATTCAGCAGGAACAAATGAACAGGAATGAAAATATTTTTTAAACAGGTAAAAAAAATTTTTTTTTTTAATTATTAACAATTGAAATTTACTTTATGATTTCCATGCTATTTATTATTACAATTAATATAATGTTATTCATTGAAAAAGCATATGCAGGAAAACATCCCATGTATGACGTAGTGTGCAAAATCTATCACTCTAAACTCACTCATTGGGTACGCTCTTGTTGAAAAAATTAGATGCATCGAGAATCATTTTGTAATCACATCACAACTCCCTGAATTAAAATCAAATCTGATTGTGAGGTGCCTAAGGATTCCCATCCCCACTGCTTAAATGGATAACTGAGAACAGCCCAAACGTGTGCGGTATATGAATTATGTATGAAGTGTCTTCATGCCCTGACTGTGGGGGTTAATGTGTCTAGTGGGTCCCTGACACACCGTCCTCTGGAAGGCTGATGAATCTGGGGACAGTCATAGTCTGGCCTCTCAGGAGATTTCCTCAGCTTTACTAGGACAGATCAATAAAGTCAGCTGTTAGGAGGAAGTTCGCTCACTCACAGGTTATACAACATGTCAGCCATGTTCCTCCGGTAGTACAGAGCGTTCCTGTAGGCTCGCTCGGCCTCCACCACCTCTCCCTGGTTCTTGAGAACGTTTCCCAAGTTACCCCAAGCTGAGAAAGAAGAATAAAGAATTAAAATTCAGAAAATACAAGAAATCTAGGAACATCTAAAAATTAGATTTTAAAAGATATATATATATATATATATATATATATATATATATATATATATTAGGGCTGTC